ACACTTCCCTACTATGGAGAAGTACGTTCCCACCGAAAACTCGATATGCAAAATTTGTTGCCATCACATAACCTACCTATTGTTTACACAATACGGTCGGTAAAAAGAGTAGTAATATTTTTTTTTGTTTTTTTGCTTTACTACCATAAACAAAAATAAAAAGCAAAAGGAAGCGAAATATTTTAAATGAGTTAAGTAAGAGTAAAATAATTTTTTGTTGTTGTATTTAACATGGAATGAAATTAAAAAAAATAAAACTAAAAATAAGAACACGAATAACGTTACGTACTAAGGCAATTATTCTTCGTGTGCTTGCGAAATTTCAATTGAGTAAGTAGCCAAGCCAGGTCTGTATAAAGAAAAGAGGCATTTTTATTAATTCACATTCACTTTGGTTTTAAAATTTAACGTGAAAGGTACTATTTCCTTTCCTTTTAATTTTGTTCGGCATCAGTTCCCCATCCGTCTTGCATATGCCATGACTATAAATAAGTCCAAAGGGCAAACTTTTGAAAATACCTGCATATGTATGCCATAATATGTACAAATTTTTCTAAACTTATTTTAAAATTGATTGCCACAATCCTGTTTTTACAACAGATAATGCTGCTTATAAGCAAACCACAGGGGCCCCTAGTTCATCTTCTCAATCATATAATTGCGATTTCTTTTTTATATTTTCCTTTTTGTATTTTTTTGTTTTTTATTTTTATATTTTGATGTAGAACAGAAATTAAAATTTTCACTCCTTTTAATTAAATAAATAGGTCTTTGATACTCATGAGTAGCTTGAACACGTATGTGAATGGAACGCAAATATTGTTGTATTTAAAACTTGAATAACAAAAATATCAAGGCCTGGACTCTTCTTTTTTAATGAATGCATGTGTTAAATGCATGTAATGTATTTATAGCAAAATGAAATTTCTGATTAATTTTTTTTATAAGAATGATGGTTTTTGTCTACTTTGATTTCGAGTTTTCTATGACAGAAATTGACTTAAACCCAACAATTTCAATATTACAATGAAATTTGGAGTTTTCTGAGCAACAAATCAAAAATTTAGCTTTTAATTTTAAATTTAGTTAACGTGCTAACTTTCAACTATAATTTTCATTTAATTATAAGTTCTTTTAAATATATTTTCGAGTTTGAACCAAGTAACATACCTGAGAGAATTGAGAGCCAAAAATGATAATACAATGAATTAAAAAAAAATTTGGTGCTATGTTTTTAGTCTAGAATACATAACATAAAATAAAGTTAATAAAAGTTTTATTGGATTTTAGGTTAGTATTTAAGTTTGGAATTATTTGATTTTAAGTTTTATAATTATTATAGTGCTTTCATAAAAACTAGCACAAATTTATGAAGAAACTTGTATTAGCTTTCAAAGTTCCTGATGTGGAAGCTAAGATACATCAGTGAATTAGACGTACTAACAATACTCCTAGTATAACTAAAATCACATATAAATAACTAAAGTGAATTACATGGAATTTTAAAAATGAAGCACCACCATCGCAAATCAAAAGCCTAACGTATACCAATCGGTTATTTTGTTTTCTATTATTTCCATTATTTTTTCGTTATCATTTAATTTAAAAAGATTAATATAATTTTGTCATAAACTACTCCGGTATCTTATTTAGTCACCACAATTGTTGCTTGGTCAGAGATTATTACTATTAATGTTAGCAATATTTTTATTATTACCGACAACATTGCATATGCGAGTAGTAAGGAAGGTTATGTGATGGCAACAAATTTGCATATCGAGTTTTCGGTGGGAACGCACTCGTCATTGTAGTGAAGCGTAAATAAACTATTTTTAGAGAGGTGTCGGTCTGTTTGTATTTGTTTGCACGCGTGTATCTCAAGTTCGGCTGAACTGACTTTGATGAAATTTTACATGTAAGTTTATTTCGACTAGTCACGGATTGACCAACTTTTGGGATATATCAGGCCTCGAGAACTGGGCTATTTAGCGAGCGTGCTTTACATTTTTAATTATTTTAAAGAAAATATTCAACCGATTTACTTAAAATTTCATATATAAGCTTTATTCGATCCTACACGAAACCTCCTAAGTTTTGTAAGAAATCAGGTGTCAACGGGACGTTTACTACATGTCATATATACATTTTTGCATATATAAAGAGAAACAAACAACCGATTTTATTAAAATTTAATAATTAAATTCAGTCAGGGCTCGAAAACCAAACTGGGGGCCGATTTTACATATTTTACCATATCTGCAGAACGAATTGATGGAATTTCTTAAAATTTAATATTAAAGCGCTGGTTGTTACCTGACGAACAAAAAAATTTCTGACGAACTTTTCGTATAATTCGGACGGCATAAAATAATACTCTACTAAGAGCCAAGTTTTTATTTTTCTAAGTATGTTAACTAAAAGCTTAAAATTGTAAAGAAGTGTTTAAAACGCATTTTCATAATCATCTGGAATACTTTTACTAATCTAGACAATATGCATTGCGGTTGGTTATGTGTTGACCACATCAGATTTTTTTTTGTTATATGAAAAATTTAATTTTCTTTTAATTCGAAAGGTAAAGTTTACAATGCGTTATATTACAAAATGTATATTAAAAGCTCTTGACATTGTACACTATTATAAAATGGATCGAATACCCAGTCGACATAGAAAATAAAAGCAGAGCGCGTAGTGAAAAAATTGAAACTGCCTTTTGTAAATATCTGGATATTTTTGCGTTAGAAATTTAGAATTTTTGAAATCTGTTGGTTTAATCTTTTTTTTGTTTTCATAATAGCATTTGCTTTTCATTTAACAGATTTTTTATTATTTTTAATTTGTTGTTCAAACTATAAAAATTGAAATCGGCTGTGTTGTTTATAATGACATTCTTTAAAACATTCTTCTAGGGAATTATTTCAGAAAAGCATTTAATAAGTTTTTAAAATATTTCTTAAAACAACAAGGAAATTCGAAGAAACATAAAGGCAAGAAATAGAAAATCTTTTTAATTTTTTAGCACTTTTCCAAAAACTTTCTGAAAAAAAATGCTTATTAGTTTGACTCTGTCCGTCCGTCCGTCCGTCAGTCCATCCGTAGAAAATTTGTACCTATCTCCTCTTACCTATCTCCCCTCCTCTAGAAGTTATACCCCCCCATAACCATAAAAATGGCCTTTTTTAACTATTTGTTGCAATGAAACCATAAGCATTTTTGAAATTTCGCAAACGTATAATGGCAGCGACTTGCTTCCCCTAGCGCGGTATACTATAGTTAAACTTTAGAAAAGCAAAATGGCCTATCAAATTTATCGTTATCTAAAGTCCTTTTTTTCCAAATTTTTGATGTCGTTTTTCTTCTAGACCCCAGCCTGTAGAAGCTTAAAATTTTAATAATATTCTTTCCTAGAAGAAAATTTTTTTCCATCTTCACCCGCTCTCAAGTTGTCGCCTCTTGGAATTTGTAAGATTCGAATTTTTGACACCTTATATTTCCGAAAACCGCAAGCTTTTTCAAATTTCTATAAACGCAAAAAGATAACGGTAAATTCCATGACATTAAAAATATAATTATTTTTCTTAACTCACACAATTAAACCTTAAAATCGAGAATTATGTTAGCCCCACTTTATATTAATTTTTGCTATATTTCAAAGACTGCAAATGTGCATCATCCTAAATATATGCAATCCTAGAAATAGTTTTGTATATGAATGAAAATAATTTGAATAGTATGATAGGTATACATAGACGGTATTTAAAAGCAGAATTTTCACTTATAAGAAGGGAAAAGTGCTATAATATAACCCGTTGGTTTGACCCAACTTTATTTATTGTAAATATTTATTTGCGCGGCTAAAAATTTAAATGCAAAAAAAATTTTTTTTGGAACGAAGAAGCAAATTTAAAAAGCAAATAGCTTATAATACGTAAGGTTTTTTAAAATGTAGCGAAAGATTAGATACAATGCAGCGTTGTAAAGCTGTATGTAGAGATGTGCCACGGTCTCTTCTCCCTGCTCGTCGTAGATACCCCTGCAGAGATAATTCGCGGGGCGGCTCATCCTCCTGGTATGTTCGCCAATAAGAAATATCCCATTATAACCTCTACCACTATAATGTACCACTTTAATGCTTATAACGTACCACTTCAACAAGTGAAAATACTGCTTTTAAAAACAATCTATATATAGATACTACATTATTAAAATTACTTTCATTCATATACGAATATATTTGAAAGCTTGCATACCTTCAGTGTAAACATTGTATTCAATTTTTAAAATAAATGGAAAAAAAAATTAAATTTGAACATAATGCTCAAATTTAAAGGCTATTTGCGTGACTTTAGAAAAATATTTATATTTTTTAATGACACGGCCATTGAAATTTACCAATTTAAATGAAAAACGATATCAAAAATTTGGAAAAAGGGATTTTAAATAACGGTAAATTTCGCGGACCATTTTGTTTTTTTGAATTTTAAATATGGTATACCGCGATAAAATCCTGCGTTCGCAAAATTTGATAAATGGTTAAAAATAGCATTTTTAAGGTTTTGGATGGCCTTTAACTTTTAGATGGAGGGAAATAGGAAAACACATTCTTCTACGCAAATAGGTTTTTAGTTAATATACGTGTATATATTCAACCTTCTATCTTCCAGGATGTAGAAGTTTTTAAAATATGTCCACGAACGGACGGATGAACAAAGTTATTCTAATAAGCACTTTTTTCAATTTTTTTTTTGGAAAATGATAAAAATAACTTTTGTTAATAATTTAATTTAATGAATTAATATAAATTAATTGCACGAACTTATTTGATTTTTAATTTAATTTATAAGTTTACTTTTATTGAATTTCGCAACACTTATTTAAAATTTATTTGTTATTTTTTAAATATGTATCTTAACTTTTTATATAATCGGTTTTTTATATAATCTTCAGACTTTTATAAATACACAGAAACAGTAATTTAAAAAAAATTAAAGGTTACTAACTGGTATCTTAGAATTATCATCTATATCCTCAATGCGATCAACGCCTCCACTCTCTCGAATTTGATTTTTCAAATAACTTTTTGAGCTGATACGATGCGTCGAACATTCAAACGGTGTTTCTTTTACAAAAATGCTGCTTTTTCCATTCGCTGAAGGCAAAAGTTTGTGAAGCTTGACAGCTATTTGCGAAGCTACTCTAGCATTGTTTTGAATTAGCGATATATCTTAAATTAAAATAAATATAATTATATAAATATGTCTTCAATTCATATTTATTGATAAATAAAAAATTATTACTAAATAAATAAATTAAATAATACAATAAATTTGATAAGATATAAGTAATTATCCACATATCAGTATCAATATGCGGAACAAAAATGTCGTGGTTCTACCCAGGGGCGGACGGTTCATATATGCAAAGTATGCATTTGCAGTATGCTGCAAAAAGCAGGGGCGCCATTAAAAACTTTAAAAAAACATAAATTTAAAAAAATTATTTTTTAATACATATTTAATTCTATTTTCAGCGAAATCAACTTGATAAAATGTACCTACATACAAACATAATATTTTATTCCTAATAATATAAAAAATGTGCATGAAAAAAACGGTCAGTTACGCAAAACACTAAGTATTGATCTTCATATATTTTCTTTTCGCACCATACAATGAAATGTTCGTAGAATGAAAATTATTGATTTATTTTCTTACTCTACACTACTCTTTTATTTTTATTTATTGTACGAATGTACACAAAATATTTTTTGCAATGTATGAATCATCAGAATTGCAATTTTTAATTTTTGCTTTTATATACTAGTTTTGCTTTTATATACTAATAAATTCGTACATTATACCTATGCACAGAAAATATTATTTCATACAGCTGTACACATTCAATCCTACATATACATAAGTGAAATGGTCTCATATAATATACATAGAAGCAAGTTACGCAAAAAATAAAAATATTCAAAAATATACATGCACACATGGCTACACTCGTTCGTACACATTATATTTAAATTGTTTCATATATGCAAAATTTTATTTATGCTTAGTTGTCGCCCACTCACCAAACAAACAAACACATTATTATAATGTATTACTTTTTCTGTACACTATTGCATTAGTAAACAACAAGAACAAAAAAAAAAGTTTGATGTGGTCAGCACATAACCGACCGCATTGTGTATTGTCTAGTTAAATGAAAGTGCTACAGAATATTATAAAAATGTTAAATACTTCTTTTCAATTTTTAGGACATTAGTAAGCTTATAGTTAACATACCTAGAAAAATGTAAATTTGGCTCTTAATAAAATTTCGCTTTGTGCTACCCGAATTCCCTGAAATGCTCGCCAGTTAGTTCCGGTAACAACCAGAACTCAAATATCAAATTTCAAGAAATTCCATCAATTTGTTCTGTGGATATGGTGAAAAATGTAAAATCGGCCCGAAAATCAGTTTTCGAGCTCTGATCTTTCCAAAAAAGTTATATGTTCATTGCTTTAACATGAGGAATTCATGTATTAAATTTCAATGAAATCGGTTGATTATTTCTCTTTATATACACAAAAGTGTATGTTTGGCCCGTAGTAAACGTCTAGTTGCCGATGCCTGATTTCTTCTAAAACATACGAATTTTTGCGGACGGTCGAGCTGAGCTTATATATAAAATTTCAAGTAAATCGGTTGAATATTTTCTTCAAAATGTTCAAAAATGTAAAACAGGCCCGCTAAAAAGTGCAGTTCCCGAGGCCTGATACATACCAAAAGTTGATCAATCCGTGCCATGATGGAAACAAACTTACATATAAAATTTCATCAAAATCGGTTCAGCCGAACTTGAGATACACGCGTGCACACACAGACCGACAGACCGACAGACCGACAGGTTGCTAAAAATAGTTTATTTACACTTCCCTACTATGGAGAAGTACGTTCCCACAGTAAACTCGATATGCAAAATTTGTTGCCATCACATAACCTACTTATTGTTTACACAATACGGTCGGTAAAAAACAAAAATTAAGAATAAGAATAGAAAGAGAAAGAGAGCAATTCTTAAATAATTGAATGCATAGCTTGATATTGAGATTGCGTATACCAATATTTTCTTTTAACAACAAAAAATTTTGAATGAATTTCAAAATTACATGATCGTTATGAATTTCTAATACTATGTTTTGCTTTCGTTTTTGAAAAAACTGTTATCAATCACAGAATTAAATATTAATTGGTAATATCTACTACATACTTATATTGAATTGGAAAAATGTTGTTTGATAATCAAGCGAATGTTAAGAATTTTATGTTGAATTGATCTTGTGTAAATCATCCAAACAATAAAAGTAAAATGAAATGGCGCAATAATTTGTTTCACACATTTAACTCCAAAATTAAAAATGCATTTATTTTAATAAAATCAAAAAAATTTAATGAACAGTATAAAAGCTTGTACCAATGTACATAAAAAGCTTAGTTTTCAAGTCACAAATTTTAAAACGAAACTTTGATTTTCTTTAAATTTTTGAATGCAAGTCGAAACTTTTTTTATACGCTGCTTAATTTCTCAGGCGTTTTGTGAAATAAAAAGCCAAATTTAAAATTACGAATAAAATTTCACTATGTGCAATCATTTAAGTATATAAGTAAATAAATTTTTATTTTTTTCATATACAAATAAGTTTTGAAAAAGTTCATTTGATATAATTTTCATAAAACCTTTTACAATAAGTTTCACTTATGTCAAAAAGTAAATTTTTTGGTTAATAAAATCAAAAAATCAAGATTAAATGATTGATATAAATCTGATCATAACTTCATAAAAAAACATACAGATAAATAAATTACCTTGTTTTTGAATCTATAAAACAAAAAATTGAAAGTTTAGTTCCAGTCTTTAATTCTATAATTCAACATAATAAGGTTACAAGAAAGTGATTTATGATGCACAATGTGCAATGCCTATTAAATTTTGTTCACAGTAATAAAATAGGTTAAACGGTGGAAAGGGGGCGCACTTTTTAGGAACCCCTTTTTTTTTTTTTCTTCCTTTGTTCATTCCCGGAGGGAACATAGGGCTTCAACAAATCCTCTAAATCGCACTCTATTTTGGGCTAGACGCTTTACTTCCGACCAGCACTTGCCATTGGACTCGGCCTCCCTAAGCGTGGTTCTACGCCATGTATTTCGTGGTCTGCCAACCCTCCTTTTACCTTGAGGGTTCCAGTCTAATGCCTGCCTGGCTATCGCGTTACTAGATTTTCGCAACGTGTTTCCCAGCCATCTCCATTTTCTTTCTTTTATGACCACACTTATAGGTTTCTGGTTCGAAATCGCCCACAGCTCATCATTCGTTATTGTTCTAGGCCAGAATATGCCGCATATTATTCTCAGGCACCTGTTGACATATGCTTGGACCTTGTTGATGTACGCTGCAGCCACCATCCGTGTCTCAAAGCCGTACAGAAGCACCGATTTCACACAGGCATCGAATATTCTGATTTTGGTGCTTCTTGTCAGGTGGGACGATTTCCACACGTGCCATAGCCGGCCAAAGGCCATCCTAGCCTTTGATAGTCTGTACTCTTATGTCCAGCTCCGTTCCTCCATCACCCGCTATGATGCTGCCCAGATAGTTAAATTGTGACACGTTCTCAATATGCCTGTCGCCTAGAAGAAGGGGCTCATTGTTTGTTGTATGTATTCTTAGGCATTTAGTTTTGTTGGCATTGATCCCAAGGCCGACTCCCGCAGCTTCTTTCTCCAATATGCTTATCTTGGTCTGCATATCTGCATGTGTGTGGGCCATGAGGCAGATATCGTCTGCACATTCAAGATCCTCCAGCCTTCCGGTCAATCCCCATCTGATACCCCTCGGCGCCATATTTACTTTTTTCATTATGTCGTCAAGTACTACGATGAAGAGAAACGGCGATAGAGGACACCCCTGCCTGACACCCGATGTTATTTGGATGGGTGTGCTTAGCTGCCCGCCGTGTAACACTCTGGAGCTCGTATTCTCGTACATGGCCTGAATGATGTTCACAATTTTTCTGGGGACGCCCTTGTGGTGTAATGCATTCCAGATGGCTTCATGTCTTATATTATCGAATGCCCTTTCGAAATCAATGAAGGTGCAGAAGAGAGGACTATTCCATTCATTGGATTGCTCAATTATAATTCGGAGTCGATTAGAGTGGTCTATGCAACCCCTATTTTTCCGGAACCCGGCCTGCTCTTCTCTGAGTACTTTATCTATTTTCGGCTCGATTCTGCCCATGACAATTAGTGCCAGCACCTTGAATACCGTGTTTAGCAGGGTGATGCCCCTCCAATTCGAGCACTCCTGCAGATTGCCTTTCTTTGGTAATTTTATAAGTACTCCTTCTTTCCATTTGTCGTATATATTTTCTTCCTGCCAGATCCGCTCTATTATGGACCCGAGTATCGCAGCTGTCAGACCAGGATCAGCCCTAAGCAATTCAGCCGGTATTCCATCCGCACCTGCAGACTTGTTGTCTTTAAGTCTCATAATTGCATCTTTGAGTTCTTTCTGGGATGGAGGCTTGGTGTCAAAGTGGCCGATGTTGCTGTAGTCCTCTGGTTCCCTTTCTGGAGTATTTTGGGCCGATTCATTTGCTTCGTTCAAATGCTCCCTCCATCTTACAAGTTGTTCTTGTGCATTTGTGATCAGGTTACCTTTCTTATCCTTTATTGGGTGGTGCTTCTTGAAGTTCTTATTCGTGAGGGCATTGATGCATTTACGTGTGCGTCTCATATTATTCATGTCAGCCGCCATCTGTGCCTCCATCGCTATCTTATTATGGAACCTTTATCTCTCTTTGCCAGCTTCTTGACCTCCCTCGCTACCGAATTGTACAATCTTTTTCATTCTGGGTCGTTATTTTGTTGTAGTTGGATGTGGAGCTTGCGCCGTTCTTCTATTGTCTGCCACGTCTCGTCCGATATCCAAGTCTTCCTTTCAGGGCGTACTGTTCCTAATACGACCTCACCCACTTGTCTGTATATGCCTTGTATGTTTTGTGCATTTATATTATTGGTTTGCTCTGTTATTTTTGATATAAATTCTTGCTTTATATCTATGTTGTTCAGCTTGTGGGTATCTATCTTTTTCTTTCTTGAAGACGTGTTTTGCGCCCTTATGACTGCGGGCTTCATCTGTATGTCTGCTGTGATCAGTACGTGGTCACTATA